TTTCCACCATTGCAAAATATCTAAAGCATTTCCTTGACATCTAACTAAAGAAGCAGAAAAATATTCATCTATTTCAGAAACATCTAATCCTGATGAAGTTCCAGATCCACCAGTTAGTTCAGCTACCATTGCATACCTATCAAAACTTACACTTTTACCTCGACCTGTGCTCGAAGCTGAAGGTGCCGAAGCTGAAGACTGTTGTGTAGCTACACCATATCTAGCTGCATACTCATCATATAAGGTTTGAAAATAATTTCTAATAGCTAAATAATGAGTAGTAGCAGTAAGGGTGGATCCATCATCTAAGTCTATAATCTGTCCACCATACAATGATTGTAACAAACTTCGAAGGCCAATTTCCTTCAAGCATGGATCAATAAGAACACCAATACCAAAAATATGAGGAATAGGCCTAAAATACTTATTAAATTTACTCTCCATTTCAAAAATTATACTTCCAAAAATATCATCCATACGATATTTTGTAAAATTTTTTTGAATATTTAAAATTTGTAAAGCAGCTAAAGTAATAGTTGGATAATAACAACCAGATAATAACATAGTAGCATCATAAAAAACTTGTAACATCTCATTTAATTTACATATAACTGTCCATTCATCTTCAGTTATTCCATAAGCACTACCAGAGCTAGAACTAGAAGCATAAAAATTTATAAAATCATTTATAATTTCTTTATATTCTATTGCTACAGATAACATTGCATAGGTGGAATTCCACCTATGGTCAACATCTTTTGGAATTAGTCTAGGCTTATAATTTTTTCTTTTACAACATTGTTTCCATCTTTTAATTCTCATTTCAGAAGCATTATGCATATTAGTAACTGTTCTAACTTTTTCTATCATGGGTTTAATTTCAGAAAATGCACTTTGAACAATTAAATTTAAAATATGACAGATACATCTAACATGAAAAAGCTCACCATGACATGGCAATGACAAAGTTATTTTCAGAAAATCAACAGCTACATTATTATTACTTGCATTATCTAGTGAAAGAGTAAATATTCTTTGATCAATTTCTAGTTTCATAAGTTCTTCAACAATTAAATTTGCAACATTAATACCAGTGTGTGACTCTTCAATTGCAATAAAAGAAACAACTCTTTTAAACATTTTCCAACTTTCATCAATCCAGTGTGCTGTTATACATAAATAACCAGTTTGCACTCTAGATGACCAAATATCAGAAGTTAAAGAAAATTTGCAGTTTAAATTTTTAAAATAAGAAATTATTTTTCCCTGTTCCTCAACATAATATTTTAAAATATCACGTTGACAGGTTTGACGAGAAAATTTTGTAAATGCAGGATAAAAACCATCTCTAAATAAATCTTCAAATTCATCATCTTCTACTAATTTAAAAGGAAGGTTTTTAAGAACAATAAACCTGATTACGCATTTCCGGGCTCGGGCAGCGTCATAATTCCAACTGCCGAGGGTACCTGAAGAGGATGATTGGGAAAGCATAGACTGCCGGATATCACCTTGTAGATTTTGGCCTTTGTTGTGTTTTTCAATATGCCGTTTGAGATGGTTGGTGCCGCTCTTATGATGAGCTTTGAATATCTGGCCGCACAACGCACATTTCGCATTCTGAGAGATGATCCTACCGTGTTCATCCTTGGTGACGTCTATCTTCTCAAAAAAATTCCATACATCAGACCTCGGCCTTTTTGGAGCTCTTGGTGCCGTAGATTCGTCGCCACCAGATTCAGGATTAACACCGGTAGGATGAGGAGTTGTTGTAGGAGGACTCATCTCTGGATCGGTAGGAGTTGCATGTTGCTCTTCATAATCAGACCCAGAAGCCATTTGTTGGAAGTATTAGAAAATACAAAAGATTATAGGATAGTATATTAGTATGAGATAGTATAAGATTGTATAAGAGAGTAGTAGAGAGAGAAATAGATGAGTTTTGTTGTGAGAAAATGAATTGAAACCCCCCCTCTATTTATAGAAGCAGCCCCCTAGGTAAATGACCAAAAAACCCTCGAAAAATAGCCGTTTTTTGACCGTTTTAAGGGGCAAAACGGTCAAAAGACCAAATCTGGCCGCACGACCGGGCCGGGCCCGGGCTCCGGGCTTTTTGGACACCCCTAGGGTTCAGATTGTAATTCCAATTGCGAAAACTCAGCCCTTACAGTAGGAATTTCTTTTAATATTTACACGACCGGGCCGGGCCCGGGCTCCGGGCTTTTTGGACACCCCTAGGGTTCAGATTGTAATTCCAATTGCGAAAACTCAGCCCTTACAGTAGGAATTTCTTTTAATATTTAAAAATGATTAACGCTTCGACTGGGGCCGTCGCCGGGCCCTATGTTTTTTCTGAGAAGATGGATTTGGAAGAAGCCCGGCCTTCTCAAACAAATCTCAAGAGCTGCCCTTGCTAATTATCCCCTCAAGCCCAATTATCTTTTGGGCCTCCCAGGTTTAGGTAAAAGATAATAAGCATGCTAATCGACAGCCAATTCTGCGCTACAAGCGCAAAGTACCCTTTAGGCCTCAACAAGCCATTAAGGCCCAATAAGCCCAATTCCAACACAATTCCGGCCTGTTCATGTACACATCCATGGTGACTTTTTTGAAAGGGCAAGAGAAGACCAAGGTGCCTTTCTTTTCTCGGAGGGAGGCAGTTGAAATGAATACCCTCCTCCAAAAGGTATATTATTCTTTTCTTTACTTACCCTCCACCAAACTTCCTTCGTTAATTTGATGCCATTATCTTATTAATTTGCCTTTTTTATACTTTATTTACTTTTTATATCAAAAAGGGTGTGTTCATGTTATTAGCGCCGTAGCATTTTTTTTGCCCAAAAATTGCATGCGTACACAGAAAGATAGATTTTGTTTAAAAGAAAGGTCAGGGTGGCACGTGCATTAGCCCGTGTGAAATTTTACCATTGCATAGTTTACCACGATGAGGACGGTGCTAATAGCTAATTACGATGGCGGTAACAAGCCAAAAATAAATAAACCTCATCTACCCCTCATTTACTTTGCAATGAGTAGCAAGGCATATATAAAAAGAAAGAGTTAATTGCAAACAGATCCTCCTAGTATCATCCAATTTTGAGAGAATCCATGTAATTCTATTTGTAGTGAAGAAACTCATGTAATGTTGGCACAGGTGTAAATATATTCTCTTCGTGAAATTTTTTATTCTTAATTAAAAATATATATATATCAATTGAGGTTACTATATGGGGTCTTTGGGCCCGTTTGGAACTTTTTTTTTACCATGAAAATGAAGGAAAGCTGCCACAGTTGTCAGAACTGTGGCAGCTTTCCTCTTCTTTTCATCCCAAAACACTAAAAACAAACGGCCCCTAATGCACGACTAGAGATACCCAACAGAAAAGATCTAGACGGACCATTTCATCCAATCGTACGTGTTTTTGAAACAAACGGCCCCTTTCTATCTTCTCAAAACATCTTTAACAATTTCAAGAGCTAAAAAAAAGTATGGGGTATATTATTAGCAAGAATAGAATTACATAGGGTCTATTCACAATGGGTGATACTACAAGGGGATACGTTTGCAGTTAACACACAAATAAATGCCATGAAATTATAATATTTGTTGATTACCCCCTAGACGGTAAATTAACAATCTTTCAGCCGTAGTAAGTCAATTTTTAAATTTGATCAGTGCCTCGAATCTGAAGCATCGATTCTACTCTACATCTTGACAAACCTAGAATTAATATTAAGTTTGGTGATCAAGTCAATGCGTCCGTACGTATAACATTTATTGATATTGTTGTATTTTAAGGGGGGGAATAGTATACTCATTGCAAGGCAATGCATGCATCTAAATGGTTATACGATAAGAGCTTTACATTTTAAGTGTCTAAATTTTGGATTGTGTATGACCCTTAATACGTTTGTAATTTTTTGTACTACTAATGTATACAAGCAAAAATCAGTAAGAAAAAAAACATATTACTATTTGTAGAAATCAGATTCT